CTAGGGGGTGATTTCTCGTTTTCTGTCTCTCTGTCTCTGTCTGTCTGTCTAGCAAGCACACGCGCCCTTATAGCGAAAACCACTCAAAAAATATTCTTAATATTCATATAACTATTAAGGAAATTAAATTCAGGATAATAAAAATTCCCCAAAATGAAATATCTGTGTATAAGTGGTTTCATCGAATAATTCCACCAAGCATTTAAAAGAAATTAATGAGCAGAGCCGACTTCCATCTCCAGCTCCCTGGCCTGAAGGAAACTGAGGCAGGGCCTGTCACTGGCCCCTGGCCCCAGCTCCAGCTCCCAAAACCCTAGAGCACTTCCTTGTTAGCAAGGATTGCCCCCAGCTCTCCAGCAAAGCCCACTTCCCTCTCCAGGCCCCTGGGCTGAAAGGACACTGAGGCAGGGCTTGTCAATTGCCCCCAGCTCCAGTTTCAGCTCCCCCAACCCCAGAGCCCCCAGGGTCAGCAAGGTGAGCTTGTTTTTCTTTTCTTCTTTCTTTTGTTAATTTCCTACTTAGCCTTACTCTACAGGACTGCCCCCAGATCTTTAGCAGAACCTAATTCTATCTCTAGTGCCCTGGCCTACAGGACACTGAGGCAGGGCCTGTCACTGGCCTCTGCCCCAGCTCTAGCTCCCCCAATCCCAGAGCCTCTCCATCTGCAAGGACTGTCCCCAGCTCTCCAGCAGAGCCTACTTCCATCTCCAGCACCCTGGCCTAAAGGACAATGATGCCGGGCCTATCACTGACCCCTGGCCCCAGTTTCAGCTTCCCCAAGCACATAGCCCCCAGTGTCAGCAAGTTAGGCTTGCTTTTCTCTTCCTCTTCTTCTTTCTTTGGTTAATTTCCTACTTCTCCTTACCACACAAGACTGCCCCCAGCTCTCCAGCAGAACCCACTTCTATCTCCAGCCCCCTGGCAAAATTGTGTGCCTCTAGTGTGTGGTGCGTGATTTTTCTTTATTCTCTTTCATACTCTTTTGTCTTCCCTCTTATATTATCATCTCCTGCTTATCCTTCATATACCAAAAGGGGCTACAAAGGTCTAGAGTCACAGTTTTCAAATACCGTAGTATTGTGAGGCTCCCTGGAATTCTCCCTTTTACTTAACAAACTTCTCTTCAGACACCTGAATAGAGAACTCTTCCCATGGAGACCACATAACTAAACACAGCAGAAGAGAGGGGTCAGTACATATTAGTTCACAGCAAAAGGGAAGCACACTTGTTCCCAGTCAAAGAAACATTCTCCAAAAGCGTATGCAAAAGTGAATACATCTACCAATGGCTAGAAGTAGAAGAGTTTCAGGTCTGAATAAACCAGGAAATATGTCTCCATCAAAAGAACAGAATACCTCCCCTCTATATCTTGAAAAAAACAGATACCAAAATGTCAGAGGAAGAATTTAGAACATTCATGGTGACAAAATTGTGTAAATTGTAACAGAAAAGAGACAACGAATTACAGATTAGGAAGCCTTCCATGATATGAAAGAAGAAATGGACACTATAAGGAAGAATCCCATGGAACTAATAGAGATGAAGTCTATAATGCAGGAAATCAAAAACTCTCTTGAAAGTATTATAAGTCAATTAGACCATGCTGAAGTTCAAATCTCCAATGTAAAAGATAAAACCTTTGACCTAGAAAAAAACTACCAAAATGATAGTGAAGATGACAAAAATAAATGAGGATAATATATGAGAAATACTAGATTTCATTAAAAGTCCAAACATCAAAATAATATTTATCTCAGAAGTTGAAGGAACTAATAAGGGCATGGAAAATGTATTCCATGAAATCCTGCAAAAAAACTTCACAAGTCTAGAGAAGCACTTGCACATCGAGGCCCAAGAAATACAAAGGAATACAAATAGAATCAAGCCAAGAAGATCTTCCCTAACACACATCTTTGCCAGACTGGCCAAAACCACAGATAAAGACAAGATATTAAAATTGGCAAGAGAGAAACAACAAGTAACTTAAAAGGTCATCCCATCAGGTTAACACCAGACCTTTCAACAGAAACAATGTGAGCGAGGAAAGAATGGGAAAATATATTCAAAGTGTTAAGAGAGAAGCAATTTCACCCAAGATTATTATATCCAGTAAGATTATCCTTCATATGGGAAAAAAGAGATTAATGTCTTCTCAGACAAACAAAACCTGAAAGAATTTGTCAACACCAGAACAACTCTTCAAGAAATTCTGAAGAGAGTCCTGTTCCAGGAAAACTAAAGAATGAACATCCAGAAATAAGGGAATTACAGACAACCAAGACAATGGCCAACTCAAAGGTAGGGACAAGGCTGGAAATATTAATAATAACATTGAATGTTAATGGATTAAATTTTCCAAACAAGAGACACAGACTAGCTGAATGGGGAAAAAAAAAAAAAAAAACCAGAAACCCTCTATCTGTTGCCAACAAGAAGCACATCTCATGGATAAAAAACACATAGAATAAAAGTGAAGAGCTGGACAAAGATATTCCACAAAAATGGAAACCAAAAAAGAGCTGAAGTCACAATACTAATTTCTGACAAAATAGGCTTTAAAACAAAAACTGTTCTAAGAGACAAAGAAGGGCACTATATTGTAGTAAAAGGGTTAATTGATCAAGAAGATATCATGATTATAAATATCTGTGCATATAACACAGGAGCACCCAAATATGTGAAGAGAAGACTGTTAGATCTAGAAGGAGAGATAGACTGCTACACACTAATTGCTGGAGACCTCAACACCCCACTATCTCCTCTGGAAAAATCATCTAGACAAAAAATACATAAAAAGTAAAAAGATCTAAATGGTACCATAAATCAAATGAACTTAACAGACATCTATAGAACTGTCAACCTAAAAACTATGAGATACACTTTTTTTTCATCCCCACATGGAACGTTTTTGAAGATTGACCATATGATAGGGCACAAAACAAACCTCTACAGATTCAAAGGCATAGATACTATGTCCAGCATCTGCTCTGACCATGATGGAATTAAACTTGATTTTAATTTCAAGAGAAATTCTCAAAAATACACAAATACATGAAAACTAAATAAACTACTCTTGAATGACGTCACAACTACTAAAGAAATTAAGACTGAGATAAAAAGATTCATGGAGGTCAATAACAATGAAGAAAGGAGTTTCCAAAAAAAAAAAAAGGGAAGTTCACAGCAATTAGTGCATATAAGAAGAAGGTGGAAAGAAGGCAAATGGCTTACCTAACATCATGCCTCAGAGAATTGGAAAGGCAACAGCAAAAAAATCCAAAAAATGCCCAGAGAAAAGAAATAATAAAGATCTGAGCAGAAATAAATGAAATAGAAAATAAGTGAACTATACAGAAAATAAATGAAAGCTGGTTCTTTGAAAAGAGAAACAAAATCAATACCCAACTAGAGAGACTTATGAAGAAGAGAGAAAGGAACCAGGTAAATAAAATTTGCAATGAGGTTGGCAATATAACAACAGACATAATAGAAATTCAAAACATCATTTGAGGATAATATGAACAACTATATGCCAAAAAAAAAAAAGAAAATCTGAGTGAGATGGACAAATTCCTGGACACATATAATCCACCAAGATTGAGTCAGGAAAATATAGAAAGTCTGAATAGGCCCATAGCAAGCCAGGAGATCACATCAGTAATAAATAACCTCCCAACAAAGAAAAGCCTTGGTCCTGATGGCTTCACCTCTGAATATTCTACAAAGCTTGGAAAGAAGAGTTAACCCCTATTCTTCTCAAGTTATTTCTAAAGATCAAAAAGGGCAATGATCTCCTGAATTCATTTTATGAAGCCTCCATCACTCTTATTCTTAAAACAAATAAGTACAAGACAAGGAAGGAAAACTATAGGCCAATATCTCTGATGAATAGAGATGCAAAAATTCTCAACAAGATACTAACAAATTGTACCCAATAACATATAAAAAAGATTATACATCATGACCAGGTAGCCTTTATTCCAGGGATGCAAGCTTGGTTCAACATACGTAAAACCATAAATGTAATGCACCATATTAACAGGAAAAAAGATAAAAATCATATGATCCTATGAATTGATGCAGAAAAAGCATTTGATAAGAGACAATGTCGCTTCATAATCAAGACTCTCAGCAAAATCAGTATAAAAAGATCATTTCTCAACACAATAAAAGCTATCTATGAAAAACTCATATCTAACATCATTCTAAATGGAGAAAAGCTGAAAGCTTTTCCACTAAATACTGGTACAAGACAAGGATGCCCACTTTCTCCACTCCTTTTTAATATAGTACTGTAAGTCTTCGCCAATACAATCAGAAAAGAGAACAGAATAAAAGGCATTTAAATAAAAAAAGAAGAGATGAAACTATCTCTATTTGCAGATGACATGATGGTATACATAGAGACCCAATGGTATCCATTTAAAAATTCCTGGAATTAATAGATGAATACAGTAAAGTTGCAGGATACAAAAATCAACAAACAGAAATCTATAGCATTTCTATGTACGAACAGCAGGCAGACTGAGACAGAACTGAAAAAATAAATAAATTCCACTTACCATTGTTACAAAAAGTGTAAGATACTTAGAAATAAATCTTCTTCCACAAGGAGAACTATGAGAAGCTAAGAAAAGAAACTGAAAATGACATAAAAAAGTGGAAGGACATCCCTTGTTACTGGATTGGGAGAATTAATATAATCAAAATGGCAATTAGATACAAATTAATCTACATATTTAACAGAATTCCAATCAAAGTACGAGAACATTCTTCACAGACCTAGAAAAAAAATCATACAATTTTTCTGGAATCATAAAATACCTCATATTGCCAAGGCAATCCTGCCCAAGAAGAGTGGAGTGGGTGGCATCTCACTCCCTAACCACAAAATACACTACAAAGCTGTGGTAATTAAAATAGAATGGTATTGGCACAGAAATAGATAGGTGGACCAATGGAACAAATGGAATTCCCAGAAATAAACTCCCAGACATACAGCCAAGTGATCTTTGACAAAGGGTACCAGACAATCCAGTGGGGAAAGAAAAACCTCTTTAGCAAATGGTGCTGGAAAAACTGGATATCCACCTGCAGAAAGATTAATCTGAACCCCTACCTCTCACTGTTGACAAAAATCAACTCAAGGTGGATCAAAGATCTAAACCTAAGA